CTTTTCTTTTTCCTCCAACAACTGCTGTAATCTCTCTTCTTGTTTATTTTGCTGCTCTTTTATTGCTGCCATCAAGTCTGCTAAGCCGTAGTTTGATTTTCCGCCTCTCGTTTCCATTTTTTTATCCCACTTCTGACACCAATTTGTTACGTTTCCGTTCGTTAGTTAATTTTCCGTAACTTCGTTCCGACGAAACTTTAGGACACAAGTCCTTTCTTAAATAAAACTGGTTTATTCTTTCTGAATATAACTTTGTGATACACTTAATTTCAACAGGCGCGCTATAACAAACGCTATAATTCTCAACGAAAGTCTCACGTGCTCAACAATATTCTCTCTCCGCAATTCATTTACACACACCAACTCCCGTCACGTTGTGACCGTCTTATATATACAAGACTAACACATATCTAGTAGACGCTAGAGCATTCATGAAGGAACGGGATATTTCTAGAAGGACGTGGCGTGATAGTAGTCACGTGACCTCGCTGACGCAACAATATGATCAAGAGCTTATTAACTCGATTTACTTTTAGCTGCCTTTGTTCATTTGTCATGATATGGAGAGATAATACTTGTTCTGCCCTTAAAATAACATGATTGTAATGCTTTACATTGTGCAAGAATGTCGAAAAGCAAAATCTCCAATGGTAGGCCAAATGACATCTAAAAAAGATTACGGCTTCCACTATGTCTGAGTGAGAATGGTCAATCACGTGGGTAACACTAGTTGCTATAGCTAAATCCTACATTTCTCATTAATTAAGTAAAATACATAGATTTAAACATTCATTTGCCAAATACAGAATAAACTCGTTAATAGGATTATATCTCGAGGGAAAAACAGTCTATTTAACACACAAATCCAGTGAAAGACGAACAACCAGCCGTTATAAGCAAATATGCACAATGTGTTTTGTGTCTTTGGTCAAAAATAATTGCTTTCTTTGTTTTACAAAATGTGTCCAGTCTTATTATTTCTTTGTTCAAATTCAGTTAATATTAGTTAAATTCAGTATCAACTCATAATATAGTGGAACTACTTAATTCTCTTGGATAAATTCAATTTCACTTAATGAATACCAAACACATAAACTTTTATGCATGAAAATTTTATAATATCTTATATTAAACAATGTTTGAATACGTGTAGCATGCCTGCTTCGTACACCTTTATTCTCCTCTTTATCTTCAGGCTATACCAGCCATCCCTAACTTCAAAATTTTTAAACCAATTAAAGATATGCACTATGGTCGAGAAACCAGGGTATCCTTTTCTCGATATTGTAAAACACTTACACAGTAACACAGAAAACATAACTTCGTACAGTAAATCGTAAATTCATAAACTAAAACTAAGAAAATGGCAACTTAAAATAAAATTATGTACATTATAGTAGTATGACATAAAATCACACGAAATCAAAAATACAAAATATACCTTTTGACATTTTATCTCAAAAAAGCAATTGAAGATAA